TGATTTCTTCCCATGGAACTGATATTAAAACTGTTTTGGTTCAGTAAATTTCTGCCGTCAGCCCGGTAAAGGCAGGTCAGCTCGACGGACGGCTGAGAGGTTACTGGAAACAGAGTCATTGTGGACGTTACGCTCACAGTGAGGATCCCAGTTTGCTTAGAAAAACATGTTACTGAGACAGATGAAGCTGCAGCTGATGATCTTGATGTGTCAGCAGTATGTGGTGGCTGCTGTAGAAATAACACAGCAGGAAGGTATTGATTGTATAAGTTCTCTGCTCCCATATGAAGCCAAATGTGCAGTCATGTGTGTGTTTGTTTTCCATGTGCTCTGCTGTATGTGATGGATCCAATCGATTCCTCTTCGTATGGTCCGTACTGTGCAGCAGCAGGAAGGCTGAGCTCAGTGGATCCACGGTTTGGTGTTGTTTAGAGTCAATCCTCGTTCAGACTCCGTCCATTTTCTGACGCTTATCGAGGTCATGGTGGCAGTAGTGAAGCAAAGTAGCTCCTCTCCCAGCAGCTCCTCTCCCAGCAGCTCCTCCTGCGGCGTCCCAAGGCAAGGTGTTCCTAGCTCAGATGGGGTATTTAATCTCTCCAGGGCAGATCCACAGGGTCCCCTCCTCTCAGTCGCCCCTCTTCAAAGCTCATTTTTGTGTCACTGGAAGCTGTTTCCAGGGGAAACAGGTCATCGTAGAGACTCCCTAGATGCAGATGAGTGGCCAGACTGAGAGTGATTTAAGGACTCTTGTTTATTTGTCAGCAGCACCTGGTCGGGGGGCGCCACCCCCTTAAAACAACATGATTTACATCACAATCTAAGTTTTGTTTTTGCCTCATCACTTAGACGACTTGAATCAGCAGATTTTGGGGTGTTCTTCAACCTGCTGCAGGAAACGCAGAGTCATGTTAGACCCCCGTCCATCCTGCAGGGATTAACTGAGGCTCAGTGATGACATGTCACTGGATCACTGCTACTCTCTGTGACACTTCAGCTCGAGCTCAGACGCCTGCTGAGGCCTGGAGAATGGTGGTGGTTGGTACGTCAGCTTTTTTTCAGATCACCACGAGATCAGCTTTTAATATTTGAGTTAATATTTCTGGATGTGACACGCTTGGCTTGGCTTGGCTTGGTTTGGTTTGACTTGTTAGTCAGCTCAGCGTGGCAGGGGTCTTCAGAGTTTACATTAACAAGCACATGCTGGCTTTTGGCTGGTGCAGATGAAAATATCAATGGCCAAAATGTCCGGTGGGAAATATGCTTAATAAATAAATACATTTATTAATAGTATATTAAATATCCTAATATTGTGTGACCTATAAGATACGTTGCTGAGACAACTTAAATATAAACTTATAAAGACCAGGTTTTAGGATTTTTATTACAGTCACATCTGTTTGTCCACTGAAGCCGTACAGAGTCTCTGCCTCTTCATACGTCACATCCACAGCAGTCACAGTCTTCCACACTGCCTGTGTGAGCAGCGTCACTGAAACTCTGTTTATTTTTTCAGCATCCGTGTAAACAGGTCAGAGCAGCCACACTGCGAGCGTGAGCAGCACCACTCAGCTGGGGAACATCTCTTATTCCACCTTTCCAGTTTCGAATCTTTATCTGTCACAGACATGAAAAAATCTAAATATTAATTTTTATAACTTCAACATTTCCTGTTTACATTTCAAAATAAAAGCTTTCTGGTGTTTTTGTGGATGGAATTCCTTCATCTGTTAGCACGAAGCTTTTCATTGTGAAATATTTGCAGAACGTTGTTGTAGACGATGCAGTCGTCTGCACGGCTCCATAAATGAGTCTAGTATCAGCTTTTAATTGTGGAAATGTGGTAGTTATGTTGTGTTCACACCGAGCGAGTGACTGACGTGTAAAGTCAATGTAAAGATGTGATTAGACACGAGATGCACGTGAGGCGAATGACACGAGATTCACTAATTAAGTAAGCAGCGCAATTCATTTGTGAGAGTTGAAAAATCTGAACTTCAGCGACCAATTTAATAGCCAATCAGCATGCTGGGGATGCCGAGGACGCACCAGCGGAAGTTCATTCAACGATTCAGAAATTGCATGCTTGTGTCACGTGAGTTAACACAAAATATTAAAGCATTCAAATGAGTAACTGAAGACAAAATTCACATCACCTTTGGTGTGAACGCGACTTTACAGCACGCTATGGCAGCAACGCTGTCTGTGTGAACACTGACACGAATGAGCCGCAGACCGCAGAGGAGGCCGTCATGCACTGCTTACGCTGGCAGTGTGGCCCTGGCGCTTGTCTTGATTTATTTTGTTGCAGGTGTTTTTCCGTCACTCTGCAGGGCCGGTAAAATATGTTGATGTGTTGAGGTGAGCTGTTAGCAGAGGTGCAGTAAGAGTCTGGTGTCTGCAGGTCTTCATCGAGGCAGGTCACCTGGACAGGTCGGCAGACAATCACAGGGCTGACACTTTATGTGGGATTTATACTCCTGTGTTGAATCGACCATAGGCTCTGCGTCGACATGGAAACTACAGCGTAGCCTGACGTGCACCTCCCCAGAAATGTAACTCCACAGTGTCACAGTGACGCAGACCTCCTGTCTGTCTCTGTAAGCTGAAACCATTTCCCTCAGTGGAAACAAAGCTTTGCTTTACTTTAATTTCACAGATAAGAAACAATAAATTGTGACGACAATAAAGCCTCCACACACTGTAAAATGCCATAGGCTTGTGCTAATAACATTAGCATGTTGTATTTGTGGGGAAAATGTGTCCAGATAAAGACAAGTGTTTGTCTGTGAATGCTGCGAGTTATAGTGAAGCTGATTCGTGTACTTGTGTTTGAAATTGTCTCCATTAAGCCATGTTTAATGTGTGTTTAATGTGTGTTTAATGTGCATTTGAATCAACTAAACTTTACAGCACTTCACAGAAACCTCTGTCGCCGACTAGTGTTTTGGAGGTGTAACTGCAGAGTGACACAGACACACCACCGCACAAGTATAAATGCCACTTTAGAGTTTCATCAGTCGGAGCAACTCTTTGTACAAAGAAGCTTTGTGCTCTCCAGAGGCTGCACGCGAACTTCACAAGAGTCAGATTATTCTTTTATTTGTTTGCTTGCTTTTTCATCAGGATTAAAACTGAACACCTTTCTGTGAACCACTGATTTCCTGTTTCTTCTCCTTCACATCATAATTATTATTATTATTATTATTATTATTATTATTATTATTATGTGGCCATTAATTTATTTTTCCCCAGCTAGTGACCAGCCTTATTTACAGACTGACAGTCTGGAGGCTGTAAAGCACTGTGGGATAAAAAGCATCCACTGATGGACTTCCCCCACTTCCCTCTATCTTAGTATCTCTCTCTTCTTGTCATTCTCTTCGGGCACATCTCGCCCCGCCTTCCCTCCTGTTTTTCCATCCTCTGATGAATCAAGCCATCTTCCTCCTCCTCCTCCTCCTCCCTGCTCTTTCCCCCTGATTTCCCCCATCACCCGGGGCAGTGATGGCAGCTCCCATGTCCTTATTCTTCTTTGTTCTTTCACTCACTCACTCACTCACTCACATACAGTATACAGACGCAAAGACTCAGTAGTTATTAAAGGATTGTTTCAAATGACTAACTACAAAATATTTTCCCACGCGACTGAGACTCTGGTGGTGATCTGGTCTGTGGATTATTATAGAAGGAATCATTTTCACTGTAAACTGTGGAGGACCACATGTGTAATAGGGATCATTATAAAGCACGTCATTCATTGATATCAGACAAAAAAAATTAATTCATTTACGGATTAATTTATCCATAAATAGGCCAAATAAAAACAGGATTTCTAAGAAAACTAGAATCCAGCTGCCTACACACATTATGCTTCACTAAACGTGTAAATAAATAGACTTAAAGTGGGAACTAGAATCACCACCCCTGGAATTACCCTGTGGTCGTATGACTCCGCCCACCAGTCCACCCTGTGGTTATATGACTCCGCCCACCAGTCCACCCTGTGGTTATATGACTCCGCCCACCAGTCCACCCTGTGGTTATATGACTCCGCCCACCAGTCCACCCTGTGGTTGTATGACTCCGCCCACCAGTCCACCCTGTGGTAGTATGACTCCGCCCACCAGTCCACCCTGTGGTTGTATGACTCCGCCCACCAGTCCAGTGTCTCTGACAGTCTCCATCCATGTCAGTGAAAACATGGATGCTTCACACACAGAAGATCTATACAATCAGCACAGTTTCAAGATTAGAGTCACCAATTCAGTATCTGACCAAATGTCTCCCCTTCTGTTCCTGAGATATGACGTTAAAACATGATGATGTCACAGTCAAGCTGACCTTTGACCTTCTGACCTTCATTATTTCATCCTGTTAGACATTTGTGTCAAGTTTTGTTATGATTAGTGTATGAACTCTTCAGTTATGGCCAAGAACATATTTTGTGCGGTCGAGCGACCTTTGACCACAAAATTATAATCAGTTCATTCTTAATCCAAGTGGACGTTTGTGTCAAATTTGAGGGAACTCCCAAAAGGCCTTCCTGAGATACTGCAATTATGAGAATAAGACAGATGTAAGATCTCAGTGACCTGTGATGACAAACTTTGAATCAATTTTTGTTGAGGCCAAGAGGACGTTTGTGCCAGATTGAAAGAAATTCCCTCAATGTGTTATTGAGATATCACATTCATAGGAATGGAACAGATGAGGTCACAGTGACCTTGACCTTTGACCACCAAATTCCAATCAAGTCAAAGTGGATGTCTGTACAGATTTGACACTGATGTTAGTTGATGTTAGTTTTCATTTGATCTTTTGACAGTCAAACAGCTTCTCTAACTCAGCTACTTCGATCAGAACTTTAAACCCTGGGAGTTGTTTCATCAGCTGCAGCTCAGCTGTTGAAACTGTTTCCTGAATCCTGATTTTATTTGTAGGGAACATTTCAGAGGGTTGGACGGAGTTAACGGACAGTAAAGTGTGAATGTCCTCTGCAGATCCCCGGGGCGGCGATGGACCGAGTCAGTCTGCTGTGGCGTCTGAGGCGTCGGGCTCGCCGCGGAGCTCTCTGCATGGCCTTCTTCTGCATCTCCATGGCTCTGCTCTACGCCATCTGCGCTGAAAACAGCGTGCCCGTCACCGATGCCATCTTCGGAGTCCGGGCTCGGACGCGGGCTCAGCCTCGTGCACACTCTGTCATTAAGGTGGGTGTTAGCTGCATCATGTGACCCAAAGTGATTTACTGAGTTAGAAAAGAAAATGTTTTTTCTTCTGGTCCTAAAAGTCAGACTAAAAATGTGTCACTGTTAATTTTAGTCCAGTTAAGAGTGTGAGTTTAAAAGGACAGTAAGAAATTATAAGAAAAAGATGTTTACAGTGTGTGACTTTAATTAATGTCCCCTTACCTGACAGGTTTTCAAACACTGACCCGCGCAGGACTCTGGTTTGTTTATAGCCGTTAGCTTTTTATGTCTGGCGACTGAATTTATGCTTCAGAAATAATAAAAGTGGTGGTAATTAATGAAGATTAAAGTTCTGAACAAAACCTTAAATTATCATAAATTTTGTTGCCACAGAGGTTTTTTTTTGCAGTAATCTAAAAATCCAGTGTAAAAATCCCGTCAGCTTTTTGTTGAGGAACGAAGGCGACGCTAACTTCTAGGTTGGCCTACAAGACGTCCTCCCTGCAGCACTGTACCAGCCCTGGATGTTTGACCTACCTGACTCGTCATCTTCGTCCCTCTGCCTCCCACAGGTGCTGCGAGGCGGAGCCAAGCCCATGTACATCGACCCTCAGAAGCTCCCAGGTGTCGTCCCAGGCGACCCTCACCGTCCGATCCCCGTCCTCTCCTCCCCGAACCGCACCCACGATGCTGAGGAATCGTCAAAGCGGAAGCTGAGAGAGCGGGAGCCTTCTGGGTTTTTCACTCGGCTGCTGCCGCGCCCTTTCACGCGTGCCCTCGAGACCCTGTTTGGAGGCCGGCGGAGGGGGGAGCTGAGTGGAAGAGTGGGGGATGCGGAGTTCTTCGGACCTCACGGTCTCCTGGGAGAGGTGTGGGATGACGAGATGTCCAGTAGCATGCTGGGAAGCAGGCTGAGGAAGGTGGTGCAGAATTATCAGGTTAGTTTGGTGTTCAGTGGAGATAAAAGTCTAAAGTCTGAGAATAAAATCTGATGATTTGATTTTAAATCATAAAATTCAGCCTGACTCTAAATATTATAACCACGCTCGTCAGGCGATGAATAAGTACGGAGTGCAGTTTTCCGGCCCCGGCGGTGTGTCCAGCAGGCCCAAGCTGAGCGGCCCTGAGCTTCTCTGCCAGATGAAGGACAAGGTAGAGGTCACGACTTTGACCTCTGACCTCCAGCCCTTCTCGTCAGTGCCCTGGGCTGCACAGCTGCCACCGCAGCAGCTGACCTCTGACCTCGGGCCATACAGGAGCTGTGCTGTGGTGTCGTCAGCAGGGTCGCTGCGCTACTCCGGACTTGGCAAAGAGATAGGTGAGAGATGTTTAATCATCATGTTTGATGTAAGTCTGTTTTGTTTTAGACGCTAAACACAAACGTGTGAACTCCTTCATCAACTGTTTCTACTTTTGTGTCCAACTTATTTACAGAGGAGGAAACAATGTGTGACATCATCGATGTTTCACTTCTTAAAATGTTATAATTAAATCACAGATTCTCATGATGCCGTGCTGCGCTTCAACGCCGCGCCGACCACTGGCTACGAGAAGGATGTCGGTTCTAAAACCACAATCCGCCTCATCAACTCCCAGGTACACACACTGACCTGCTAAAGGATACATACAGCGACTGACACGAAGACAGTCCTCATGTGTTTGTGTCTTTAAACACAGGAATATATCTGACTCTTACGTCAGAGGACAAAAAAGGTTTAATACCAGAGCAAAAATATAACTGAATGATGAATATGTTTTATTCCTAGCTCATTTTAAAATGTCGTGGTTTTCAAATACTGAACTGAAAATTCTGAGTTTGAACTTTTGTGCTGACTCGTGTCGTACACTTGTGCAATCGCTGAATCGATAAATGAACTTCCACCAGTGCGTCCTTGGCGTCAAACGTCCCCGGAGGATCTCAATGCTGATTGGCTATTGTGATGCATATTGGTCACTAGTTCAGATTTTTCAAACTCTCGCATGATGTGAAATCACACTACTCGCTCCTTAATTTGCATATTTCACGTCACATCCATTGCGTTGCCCGCTGGGAATTCACGTCTAATGACGTCATTACATCGAGTCACATGTTTTTCTTTATTGGCGCCCGGTGTGAACACAACAGTTCAGGTTTTAAGACTTCAGAAGCTTCTTACTGTGGAAACATTTACATTACAAATCTTTCTACAGCTAATAATAATTAGTTAAAATGACCTTAACGTCACATCTGTAAATGGTTTGATCATGTGAGAGGTTTTAAATGAGCCGACTTTGTGTCTCTTAATAAACAGTGGGATTATTAAAGATCATGTATTAAGATCAGTGTCCGAGTCAGTGTGTGCTACAGATAGATATAATGCATTTGTTTACTTGTGTTGTAGGTGATGGCGTCTGATGACCATCGCTTCCTGTCCAGCTCTCTGTACAGCTCAGGTGCCCTGGTGGCCTGGGACCCCGCCCCCTTCTCTGCTGACCTCACTCAGGTGACGTTTACATAAAAGCCAAAAGGTCGAACCTTTAATAACTGTTTCTAAACCATGCTCTGTGTTTTTCATTGCTTTCACACAATGTTGGCAGAACATGAAACAAAAAATGCCCTCAGCTCTGACAGGAAGTCACCTCGTGCCTCCCCCTTTGTCTCCTCCTTCAACTTGCTCACACTCTTCACCCCCCCCCCCCCCCCCCCCCCCCCCCCCCCCCCCCCCCCCCCCCCCCCCCCCCCCCCCCCCCCCCCCCCCGCAGTGGTACAACAGGACAGACTACCCCATCTTCACCCAGTACCAGAGATACAGGAGGCTTCATCCTCTGCAGCCCTTCTACATCCTGCATCCTCGCTTTGAGTGGCAGGTCTGGCAACGAATACAAGACAACATGGCCGAGCCCATCCAGAAGAACCCGCCCTCCTCTGGCCTGCTGGGTACGTGACACACCAACGCTTGCATTAAAACTTTGTGACAGTCTAACTCTAATGACGGAGGAGAGATTACAGATTTGTTCCCATCTGAGTTTAGTGAATCTGTGTACTTCACAAACCCAGGTGTCAGAACACCTGAGTTCATCCCCTCTAACTTTTACTCTTACATGTGGCACTGTAGGGGGGCGGCAGTAGCTCAGTCCATAGGGACTTGGGTTGGGAACCGGAGGGTCCCTGATCAAGTCCCCATCCAGACCAAAATATGGAGCGCGGACTGGTAGCTGGAGAGGTGCCAGTTCACCTCCTGGGCACTGCTGAGGTGCCCCTGAGCAAGGCACTGAACCCCCCAACCTCTCAGAGCGCCTGTCATGGGCAGCCCACTCTGACATCTCTCCACTTAGTGCATGTATAGGTCCAGGTTGTGCATGTGTGTGTTCAGACCTGTGTGTAATTGACAACAGAGTAAAAAATTGAATTAATAAAGTATATTAAAAAAGAAAAAAAATTCAATTAGAGCTGCAACACTACAGGATGGCACTAAGGCCCTACCCCTTACCTCTAAAAAAAACTACAAAGTACAATAAAGAAACACGGTTAAGTACAATAAAGAAACACGGTAAAGTACAGTAAGAAACACAGTAAAATACAATAAAGAAACACAGTAAAATACAATAAAGAAACACGGTAAAATACAATAAAGAAACACAGTAAAATACAATAAAGAAACACAGTAAAATACAATAAAGAAACACGGTAAAGTACAGTAAGAAACACAGTAAAATACAATAAAGAAACACGGTAAAATACAATAAAGAAACACGGTAAAATACAATAAAGAAACATGGTAAAATACAATAAAGAAACACGGTAAAATACAATAAAGAAACATGGTAAAGTACAATAAAGAAACATGGTGAAGTACAATAAAGAAACACAGTAAAATACAATAAAGAAACACAGTAAAGTACAATAAAGAAACACAGTAAAACACAATAAAGAAACACGGTGAAGTAGAATAAAGAAACAGTAAAATACAATAAAGAAACACAGTAAAATGCAATAAAGAAACACAGTAAAATACAATAAAGAAACACAGTAAAATACAATAAAGAAACACGGTAAAATACAATAAAGAAACACAGTAAAGTACAATAAAGAAACACAGTAAAGTACAATAAAGAAACATGGTAAAATACAATAAAGAAACACAGTAAAATACAATAAAGAAACACGGTAAAATACAATAAAGAAACACAGTAAAGTACAGTAGAGAAGGTGATACAGTTACTTAACAAAAACTGCTCTTTAAGAAAAATATGATCATGTTCTTCTCTCCTTTATGTCCCACCAGGCACCGTCCTGATGATGTCGCTGTGCGAGCTCGTGCATGTCTATGAGTTCCTGCCGTCACGAAGGAAGACGGAGCTCTGCCATTACTACCAGCGCTTCTACGACGCTGCCTGCACGCTTGGCGCCTACCACCCTCTGCTGTACGAGAAGAACCTGGTCAAGAGGATGAACCAGGGCTCCGACCGCGACATCTACTCCCACGGGCGCGTCACGCTGCCGGGGTTCAGGAAGCTGAACTGCACCCAGGCTGCAGAGCAGTGAAGCACATCCATACACACACACACACACACACACACACACACATACACGACGATGAGGAGCAGAAAGCTGCATGAAGACACGTGAACACGAGGACAGACGCATGAACACCTTATCCTCACTGCCGAAACTAAAGGAACGCTGTGCCACTCACTATAAATATGACATGTTGTTACTGTAGGCTGTAAACACCTCACACACACACACACACACACACACACACACTGGAGTCCAATCAGCTGATAGATGTGCCTGTCATTCACACATACAGATATCCTTCAGAGGACGTTCCACTGATAACGTTCATCCCCCGTAACGACCCTTAAAGGACCATGCTTATCCAACTTATCTCAACTTATCTTATAAATCACGAGCACGTTTCAGACAAACATCAGCCAAGTCTTTTTCCAAAGCATTCGGTCGGCCTTAAACATCTTTCAAACAAACATCAGCTCTCACCCACTGTCGACACTGAAAGGGAAATGTATATAACAGTTCAACAAACAATAAGAAACCTGCATACGAAGGCCCAGACACACCAAACACACCTCAGAGAACCAGCGGTGTCGAAGGCCTCCTGCTGCGTCACCTCACATCACCTGCCAGTGTTGGGCAATAACACCTTACAGTAATAATATCACTTTTCCCAGTAATGAGTAGTGTAACTAATTACTAACATTTCAGTCAGGAACACACGTCGTAATTTGAACCATTTATTGCGACAAATTTAAAAACAGTTCTATTTGGCGCCGAGGGCTCCGCTCTGGAGGTGCTCCCTGGATCAGACAAGCAGCATGCTGAGCCAAAACAGGAAGTGCAATGCAGAGGGAAGGATGGTGAGGCGTTCAGGTGCCGCTCTCTAACAATGGCTTTATTGCAGTCGTCACCACTGAACAATAAACATGGTCGTCTTATGAGGTCGAACAGCAGCCCTGAGCTAAACTCTGCTGACTATCATTACTCTTTGCTGCTTGCTGTCTTCACCATGACACCCCTGTCAACGTTACAGATCAGAAGTACAGAAAGTTGTTGACTAGAGATGATACGCCGTCTCATGGTGGTCACTTCCTGTCAACGTTACAGATCAGAAGTACAGAAAGTTGTTGACTAGAGATGATACGCCGTCTCATGGTGGTCACTTCCTGTCAACGTTACAGATCAGAAGTACAGAAAGTTGTTGACTAGAGATGATACGCCGTCTCATGGTGGTCACTTCCTGTCAACGTTACAGATCAGAAGTACAGAAAGTTGTTGACTAGAGATGATACGCCGTCTCATGGTGGTCACTTCCTGTCAACGTTACAGATCAGAAGTACAGAAAGTTGTTGACTAGAGATGATACGCCGTCTCATGGTGGTCACTTCCTGTCAACGTTACAGATCAGAAGCACAGAGAGTCGTTGACTAGAGATGATACACCGTCTCATGGCGGTCACTTCTGTGCAAACCGCCAGCTTTTTACAGCATTACAGAACGGAGTGTCAACAGTAGTTGTTTCTTTCAACTCGTCTCGTCGTGAATTTTTGGTCTGAACTGGACTTTAGTGTCTTGTTGTGCTCACGCCGTCACTTCCCTCTTTGAAACCAAATCACACACGATACTTTCCTTTTCACTGTTTCACGTTGAGCTTGACGGTCCTGAGAGGAGCTGTGGGGAAGTTTTATTTCTGTTTGGTGTTAGAGTCTAGATCCATTTTTGCAGTGCCAATAACTGCTCCGTTGACATCCCATAATACTGAGGACCAGTCTGATTCAGTGCTGTTATTCAGCTCACTTGCAGAGGTACAAATCTACAGCACGTATGAGTGTGAATAAGACATTCTGGCTTGGGTTTTAGTTTGGAGATTTCTTTTTACAGCTCTATTTTCAGAGCTTGATACAGACTTGTTGGAGCAGCGGGATGTTTTGGCTCACAGTCAGCAGTTTCCTCAAATGTGATTGTATTTGTTCTCAGACTTTACTTTCTGTGGTAAAGTAGTGTCTGTGCTCCACGCCACACAAAGGAGCCGTGAGTCACAGTGAGAGTACGCCCACATTAAGCTGGTGAAATTTAAAAATGCATCTTCTCCTCTCTTCTCTCACAAAATGTTTTCCAGAGTGGATCAGTCTTAAAACTCCAGCTTGCTGTTTGTACCTGAACGACCCGTCTGAGGGGCTGTGTCCACCAAAGCCTTTTTTCCTGGGGTCAGTGTATTTCAGCTTGATGAGGCGCTGGGCGCAGGGTTTACGCTAGACCTTTACTTAATGGCCAATATGGCTGTCAATTAAATAACTTGAAAATATTCTAAATGAAGAGGCGGCCTGTTGAACACAGACTGATCACAGTGACAGAGGTAAAGAAGGAAAAGGACTCAGTGCACCAAGCGTCATCGTAAATCACCAAGTCTGCTATCCACCATCTGAACACAACATAACTTATGTGTTTCCACAATTAAAAGCTGATACTGGGCTCATTTATGGAGCCGCTGCATCGTCTACAACACGGCCCTGCAAATGTTTCACAATAAAAAGCCTTGTGTGAACAGATGAAGGGATTCTGCCCACAGAAACGTCAGAGGATTTTATTTTGTAAACAGGAAGTGATGAGTTAAACAGAAATATTTATGTTTTTCATGTCTGTGACAGATAAAGACTCGAAACTGTAGTGACAGGTGGAATCATGTCAGTATGAAAAAAACATTTTCAAAATCTGTTTTTGCTGAAAACTGCATCATGAAGAGAAAAATATGCGAGATGTTCTGGGCCTGAGTGGTGCTGCTCACGTGGGCAGTGTGGCTGCTCTGACCTGTTCACACCGGCGAAAAAAAATAAACAAGAGTTTCCACGACGCACGTGCACTGCTCACGCAGGCAGTGTGGAAGACTGGTTGCTAAAAACCACACGTCAGGTCGAAAAAAAATGGCAAGACTGAATCTCCTCTCATGATCTCACACAGACGGGCTGGTCCGTCCTCTCTGCCTGCATGATTCAGCCTCCGCTCATCCAGAGCGAGTGCTCTACATCTTGCCAACGTGTTTCCTTTGGTGGATATATTGTAGCATCGCAGCTAGATGCAACCAAAGCGCCTCAGCTGACAAAAACGCTGCGCCTCCAAAGCGCTCTCAAACTCTCCCAGCTGGTTGTTTCCTGAGGAGTGCCTGGTGTTTACAGCAGGAAAAAACTCTTTGGTGGAGACGAGGTCTCAGAAAGTGACAGTTTCTGTTTATGTCTTTTGACAGTATTAAAAAGTCTTGAAATTGTTTTGTTGCAGACAAAGATCTTTACGGGTTCCAGCATGTTTTTATGGACAAATTTTCCAAAACATCTCAAAATTTTTTTTTCTTGCCTGGCGTTTTTCAAAGACATCAGATTCAAACTCTAGTTGGATGTAATTAACAAACTAGTTTGCACGACTAAGGGGAGGGACGGACCCAGTTAGGAAATGACCACATGGACGCGATGGAAAACTAAACACTGTTACACTCTGACACATTTTAGAGTGACGTCAAGTCGACAGCAGAAAATTAATTTGCCGTTATGTTTAAGCACAGATTATTCTAACAATTTCATTTCACGAAAGAAAGACGGACTGCACCTTTAGAAACCTGTGGAGTCAGTCGAGTGGTCAGAGAGCTGATGAATGTCTCACGCACACACACACACACACACACACACACACACCTCACTGAATCTATTTATCTAACAACATACTGCCTGCAGACTTCTCCTCTTATTGTAACCGTAATCAACAGTCCAGTAAAGTTAAACTAACAGATGTTTTGTACCCACACAGTCGACCCTGTAACAATCTGTCCCCAGCTGTCTTTTTATAATTCTTATAAAGTGTAAATATTAAAATAATATAAAACACCTGGAGGACGGTCTTTAATGTTCTTCTGTGACGCAGCCGTGTGAAGTACAGCTGAGTTTTATTTCTACAAATATTCAACTTCAAGAACTGGAGAAGATCAGAGTGTCAGACCAAATGTCTCACATGATGATGTCACAGTCAAGCTGACCTTTGACCTTTTGACCTTCATCATTTTATCCTGTTAGACATTTGTGTGAAGATTGGTCATGATTAGTTCATGAATTCATCAGTTCTGGACAGAAACATATTTTGTGAGGTCACACTGACCTTTGACCTTTGACCACCTGATTCTAATCAGTTCATTGTTCAGTCCAAGTGAACGTCTATGTGTTGCAGTGTATTTAATGGCTGCACAGAGCGCTGCTGTCTAAAACTCTGCCTCCGTTAAAAGGTACAATATTCCAACCTCCTCCACTGTCACCTTGACTCCGCCCTCTAGTGCCACCTACAGGCTGTATGTGTGTCAGCATGATTGATGTGTGGCGGTATGAAGGCGGACAGACAAATCTATTTCCATGCGTACAGGGAGCATTAATCAGCCTGTAGCGTCTGAAAATCTGTTCCAGGAAGTAAAACTCCAGTCTGCTGACACGTCTGCGTCACTGCTGTATTTTTAGTATCGTCACAGAGAGAACGGCCTCCAGAGTATTATGACTTTATTCTATTATTACAGACGCATGATTATCACCTGTTAGAGTGTCTCCAGAGTAGCAACAGGAGAAACACTTTACGTCTCTGATGAACAGAGAAATGATCCGCATGGCACGAATCCTGCTTTTATCCCATGAGATGGTTCTTCACTGAGCGTGAAGTCAAACATGCATTTTGTTATTAACATCATCACATGTGAGCTAGCTCATTAGCATGCTAACAAATAGAATGAGCCTGGACGACACAGTGGAGGGCAGATGTTAATATTAGAACCCCCCCCCCCCCCACCAGCTGGTTTTGCCTTACAGAGCCACGAGCTCAGAGCTCGGCCGTAGACTCAGTGATTTTTAGAGATAATTCCCAGAAAAGTTTCTCGTATTGACGGGGCCGACGTTTTAGGGTTCACCTCAGACTGAAGCAAGAGCGTGAGCAAGAAACAAAATGCTCCTCTATTGTTTCTGTAATGACTTCACTTTCATGTTTTTAGCAGGATTTATTGTTTATTCAGGAGGCAAACACTTGAATTATTGATGTCATTGCATTTCAGACAGAAACCAGGAAAACATTTTCTCCCTATGCAGCTGCGCTCTCGTCCCGACTCATTTCATCTGTAAAACCTTCTGACGTATTTATTTAAGCTTTCAGATTTTCTCCTGCTTCACCTCCCTCCTCCTGCTCTCTGGGAGAACTTTGGTTGTTTAGCTGTTAACTGTGGTTTCATGTGGTTGATTGTATTTATTATTTACTTACTCTTTCTCCTTTGTTACTGGACTCAGTCTGTGTAATGTTTTCATCTGCCAGAGAAACACAACTGACTTTTACAAGCATGTCATGTTCATGAGATTCTTGTCCTTTATTTTATGTATTTTTTTTCCAGGTGTAAATTCCCACAATTATCAACATTTCCTGTTTAAGTTCAGTTTTTAATTCAATAAAACATCATGATCTAAAGTGTGAATGCCAGATGAACAGTTTGCTTGTTCCAACTGAAAAAATGGTCCAAATGATTACGACCCTGATTCCAACAGAAGGGACGTTGTGGAAAAATAAATAAAAACAGAATGCAATAAGCTGCAAATCAGTTTTGACCTACAGACCCTTTACTGTTAGTAATCAGTGTGATGTTTGTTGGTGGGCGGGGCTTAGCTGGAGGCAAAACAGTTCTCCACAGACATTAGCTAGCGCTAGCTAACAAGTTGTGTTGTCTTGTTTTAGACGATGGAGGAAGATGATGTGAGTGGTGCGTTCAGAAACACTCATTGTGAGTGTGGGAGCGCACTCTGACACAAACTGGAGCGTTGATAAATTGGGAGCGCTGTCTGAATGTAGCGTTGGGTTATCCAGAGCAGCGCACTCTCAGAGTGGCAGAGCGCACTCTGGACACTCTGTCTGTGGAGACGGAGCAGCAGAGCGCCGAGCAGAGTGAATGTGTGATTAACTTAACTGTTGGTTAATTCATGTAGAAATATAACGCTGCGTTTCTTCCACCAACAGGACTCTCATTTTAGTGTAGAGCGTCAGACTGAATTTTATGCAGAATGAGGTCCTTTG